GTATCCATCACTTGAAGCTGCCACTTCATTCAACCAAATGGTTGGGTAAATCTAATCTCCTTCCTGCCCCCCCCCCCCCCACACACACACACAAAAATATGGTACTATGACTGAATTCCAAGTCATTTTGAGTCTCAACTGGGAGAAAAGCAGTGTACAAAGGAAATAAATGGCCAAACAGAGTTTTATGGAGCAGAAGAGGTTCCTAGATGAATTCTGACTGGCAAATCCAACAAATGTTGTCACTAGCCTTCATTTAATGTACAAGAGCAGGGTATTATTTACAGAAAGCTACCCTATGTTATAGCATGTGAGTCTACAAAAACTATTATGTAATGAAGAACATAAGAAATGGCATGACCACGTCTACTTCTTCCCAAAAAAATGGGTATTTTTAAGCTTCCAAGCTTAACTCTCTGCTTGGAACAGTACCACGAGCAAACAAGATCAAGGGGATGTGAAGATACAGTGAAATCTTGATGGGTTAATTAATTCATTAAATCAACTACAAATGTTCCTTCCAAATTCAGTTTATAGGTATTAAGAATGTAGAACTCCAGTGAAAGTGAAAAATTGAATAAAGAAATGTCATTTTTTAATTGAGAGAATACATCTCTAGGAATTTCCCAAATAGGAAGGAAAATAACTTGCACTGGCCCAAAACACAGGCAAGAATCCCGTGACTTCTCTTAATGTGAAAATGCTGTGGGGCCCTGTGTCTCTTGTTAAGAGTACTCAGTAGTGCAGTCCTATTTGGTCATACAAGTTGAATATCTCTAATCCAAAATACCTGGGACCAGAAGTATTTTGAATTTTGGATTCCCCCCCCCCCCATGGATTTTGGTATACTTCTGTCTGAATATACATACATAATTAGACATCTTGGAGATGAAGTTCAAGGCTTAAAACGGAACACTTTTATGTTACATGTACACATTTTGCACATAACCTTAAGGTAATTTTATATATTTTAAAATAATTTTGTCCGTGACATAAAGTTTGTATACACAGAACCATCAAAATATAGAGTTGTCACAATAGCTGGCACCTATATGGGCAGTTTTGGATTTTGGAGTATTTCAGATTTTGGAGTGCTCAACTTGTAATAAGAAACCAAGTTATATTTGTTGTTTAGCTCCTCCCACTGATGGATCATTGTGACCATCTGCAACATTTTACTTCCTGATAATTCTTTAATCCAAAACTTCCAGATGTTACTCATTACACAAGGCGGGGGATGTGCTGATAAATGTGGAACTGAATTCTTTCAAGGACATTAATTTCACATTGAGCATTTTGGTAGAGCTTTTCAAAATATGCAGCATTCTAGTGGAACAGAGCCTTTAACTCAACTTTTAGCTGTGAATAAACCTGAAGGGCTTATTGAAGAGATTCAAAGGAAATGCCTTAGGCTTACATTTCATGATGACTCAAGCTGAGGTCATTCAATGAAGTTGCTAGTTTAGATAATTTAAAACTGCAGGGATTCCATCTTCAGTATAGTGATGATGAAGAAAAGAATGTTATATTCAAGTGAAAGCCTTAGAGACATCATCTCAGAAACAGGAACAAGGAGAGGAAACAATGCTTATGGTGCCAGTGTGGACCTGGATATATTTCTTTAATGGCATCTTCAAGGCATCAAATAAATACAAGGAGAAAGGTGGGTGACAGCTGACAATATACTTTATGTGTTGATATGCCACACATTGTTATGTTCTTGTTCTCTATTGACAATGGCTGGCAAAGATGTAGAAGGGCCACCTCCTTACCAATGTTTTGCCCCTTCCCCTCCCCATCACAATTGTTTATGCTGTAGCCCTGGATATGGCTTATTTCCCCTACTCACACACTCCCTCTCCAACCTCCCCCAAACCTGCATCTTCTTTGGTGCACAGTAGGAACATATGCTAACATTTTCTCCATGAACAATTCATCTAAACCAGTTACCAAGAAATGTAAGAATTTGAGTTGGGTGGAGTATATAACTGCTGACAGAACAACCACCTAAGGTCAGTGGGTATTTGTAAAAAACAAATTGAAAACAGTTAAGTACAGGTCACAGCTCGGATGTTTATTTCCTCTCTTCCTCCTTTCATGGTCAGCATACTGCTTTCAGCTACATGCCTGTCTCATCTTGATATAAGATCCTAACTTACGGCTATGCTTTCTATTTTGTACCGTACCATTTTAAGTTATACAAATGAGGAAAAACAGCCTTACTAAATCAGAACAAATTCCTGTCTAGTTTTCTTATCATTTATTTATTTATTTATTTCGAGGTTTTATATACCGACCCTCTCACCTTCAAAGAGGGATTCGGCATTTTCCAGCAAGGTGACATCAGTAAAATTATATCTCCATTTGAAATAATATGGCCCATGAATTACAGGGTTCCATTCTTAGCCATTATGGCTAAAACAGAAAGGAGCTCATGTGATTCCTCCTCCATTACATTTGTATTTCCCAAACTGCTATCATAACCCCAATACAAGAGACCTGAAACTCTTCAGCATTTGGGCAGCACTTCAGGGTTCCTGGTCAAGCTGGTTAGAGCCTTCAACATGAGCTTCATGTCAGTGCAGATACATTGTAACAATTTGTGTCAAGCCCTTGAAATGGCTAACAGGAATTGATACATTTGTCTTCCACGGAAATGATGAATGTAGCAAAAAATATCACAGCACTGGATGTACTGAAGGAATCCATGTTTTAGTAAAGCTTGATAACAGAAAGACTATTCTACCAGAACTGGACCTATTTTCATGCAAAGGAAGATGGCAATCCAAGGCAGAAGATACTTGAGAGCAAAGAAATGCCAGGATACAGGGCTATGAGCATGCCATATAGCCTGACTGTTAGCTTTAGGTGCTGGCATGCTACCAGTATTGATCTGCTAGCCCTCATAATTTCTGAATGTAAAATAGGAGGCATTATCCTTTGTTGCAAATCTACAAATATTCAGCTTTCTATAACTAATAAATATTCATCGGGTTTTACTTGTAGGCTATTTTGGAAATCTAACCCATGTACTAATCTACTCAATATGGATTACAATTCCTTCAGAATTATGGAAACAAAGTGATTTTGATAATGTATGGAGAAAATTTATTGAAAAAGGATTTAAAAATAAAGAAGGAAAGTTACCTCCACAAGAAGAATTGAAATTTTGGACAGATGACATGTAAAAGCTGTGACTTGAGAGGGGGAAGGGGAGCACAGTGGTGAGGGACAGAAAATATATATAAGCAGAAAAAAATAACACTAGATGCCAAAAGTATGGCAGGTTGTATCGAATAATATGTATCTGCTGTAAAACAATGTATAACAAATGTATTAAACCATGATAAAATAATAAAAATATTAAAAAAAACAATTCCTTCAGAATTTTAGTTACCCTTTTTGGTACCTTCTCTATCCTGATATTTTTGCATTGGGATGACCAAAACCAATGGAGGAAAATGTCACACTGAGTCTAATCTGCCATTGGAATTTTTCAGCCTTTTGGGGGAAATCTGCTACCATGAACTTACAACAGTTTTCTAAATACATGCTTACCTCATAGTTCACTTCTCCCTTGTCTTGTGAATTAAAGTAAGTCAATATAGTTAATGAAGCGACAGATAGGGAGGAGAAGCTAGAAACATCTTTCTTGGTAGAGAAAATTATATGATTTATTCACATCACGTGTGTCATATCTTCTGAATAAGCACTAGTCTTTTGCCCCATGGATACAAAACTCATTTAGGGAAAGTCAATGAAAAACTGTCTAACTCTTCCTAAAATTAAAGAAGGAAACACAAAGTAATAAAAACATATCACACAAAGAAAAATACTGGTATCATCTCATGAGAAATCTTTTAGCCCCTTATATTTGTCAATATCAGCTAAAATACGAAGTTTTTGAGAACAGAATATTTTTTGTTACTAAACAGGAAAGACTAATTTAAAAGGACCAGTTCCTAAGTTGTCAAAACAAAATGCTGGCATTCTCCAACCTCTAATCTCAGATGTTGGTGGCTGAGAATTGAAATTGTGAGTAAATATACACAGGACTGGAATCTTGATTTGCCAGATACTACAATTCTCAGTCATTTGTCTGCAAAACACCAGCAGTGATCCAAGCTATAGAATATTAAGACTCAAGAACATTATTTTTCCTTTATACCATTAGAAATATTCTGCCCATAAAGATACCACAATCTTCCTTCTGTTGTCAAGATTTGGAATGCAGTAACCAAGTTCAGAATGTGCTAATAGTTAAAAGAAATATCAATTGTTTTTAAAAGCCATGGACAGCTATTGAGGTAAAGCAGAAGGCATCAGCCAAAGCAGACCAGATATAAATTCATGATTCAAGCAACCATTTCTGAATTAACCACTCCCTTCATGCGTAACACTTCACTTTCTTCCATCAGCAAATCAGATCCCAAAGGGTCCCATGGTCTTTAATAGATGGCATGCAGCCACTTCTTTTGGCAAGTGAAAAGAGCATATGCCAATAAAACCCAGAGGTTCACAGTGCAAATCCAATCACCAGGTTTGCTGCAAGGGTTGTAAATGCAGATGACCTGCGAGTAGTGGTTTTTTTTAAGAGTGAGGATAATACTACAAAGTACACATTGTTGTGGGAATGTCTGCAAACTACATGGAGACAGAATGATGTAGTGGTTTGAGTGCTGGATTAGGATTCTGGGGGACCAGTGTTCAAATCTTTCCTCAGCCATGGAAACATATTGGATGACCTTAGATATGCCATATTCCCACAGCTTCAGAAGAAGCAAACCTTGCATAGAAAACCTCATGATAGGCTCACTTTTGGATTGCTCTAAATTAGAAAATAATTTGAAGATATATAGCAACAACAAATACAAACAGCATTTTAAAATACTAGCTTATTGTCACATCAGTCTGGAGGAATCATAGTACAAGAAAGAAGGGTAGTGAGAAAGGTTTTTCATCACACAATAAATCAGAACAACTGCAACTGAAATTCTTACCATTTGGAGATGATGTGTTACAATGAAATGAACTCAGGGCCATCTGTGTGGTGCAGTTCTGCCAAAGATCTGCCACGTGACCACTTCCTACAAGCCATTGCTGAAAGAGAAGCACAGTATCATGAGAATTGGGAAGGTCCAGAGCCAATCAAAGCACAATGGAAACTTTGCACTACATAAATGTATTTCTCTCCAGAGGAGGCTTCCATGCAAATTCAGCTTGACTTAATTCCCTGATGTATTAAGGAATGAAATAGATTAATCCAGGGACAAAAACACTTATAAAAAGTTTTTTAAGCATCTATATGCATAGCTAAAGTTCCTTTCCCAAAGTGAGCACATAGTTGTACACATTCCTCCTTTCACTAACCACAAGGAGAATATGTCACTCCTTCATTCCTTTGACCCCAGTAGGGGAGCAAAATGGATCTGCTAAATATTAACACCACCACTTTGAGAAGAGGAAATCCCATTCCCTTGAACTACCTTTTCCAAAAGCAAAGCTCTGGGAACTCTTTTGTAGAAATGCTCCTAGTACCTCCATTATGAAATTTATATGCATGTGCAAGACATTTTTTTGAAAATCATTTAAACAAAAGTTGCTAAAGTTGCTGATTGCACAACAAAATACAATTGGATATGGATCCAAATCCACTGCCATATCTCTGCATAAAGCAACAGAATGATTGCTTCTAGTTGTAAAAGAAGACCATAGATATAAAATCTCCATCAGTCTTGGAAACTTTTTTTCTGATGCTATACAATGACTAAGAAAAGTAACTTGGTATAAGAGGAAAACACTTTTCACATCCTCAAACTCTAGCTCAAATTAATCAAATATTTGCAAAAAAAAATTAAAGTATTACATTTAGTGTCAATTACCAAAAGATGAGTAATATCTGAAAAATCAGACTTATCTTTGGCCAATTATTTAACAGACAATATAGCTATCTTAACTGCAACAGCCTCATTCTTTTTTTATAAACTAACAGGGCTTATAAACCAATCAATTCCTTACTAAGCAAGACAGCCCAATCCTACACTTCAACTAAGTTTAATCCCTACCAGCAGATACAGGACTGAAGTTTTTAAAATATTTACATTGAAACAAGCTCCTATGTTTGAAAATAGTTTCATGGAATCTTTATCAGCTTTCCATGACTATTAAACCCTAGAAACAATCTGGGAGAAGTAAAAATAAACCAAGAGTGCTATTTGTACTTACGCTGACAATTGTAGAAACGAAGAGAAGGACAAGCACGGCGACATGGAGCACAATGATTACCAACAACAAGAGGAGCATCTTGGCAGAATGGTTGGGTTGATCTAGGAGAAGAGAAACACCTTTGAGTAGAAGAAAAGAAGTCTGTTACCTGTGGTAAGCTATGCTATATGAACACAGACAAGCCTATCCCTCAGAAGCGATCAGTAGAGGGGTGCCTCTGAGGCAAAATAAACTGAGCTCAACGGGTTCGCTGTAAAAAGACTAAAGCACTCAACCAAATTATACATTCACTTTATGAAAGGAAGGTGGCTTAAGACTATGTGTGGAAAGTGATTGAAAGTTTTTACTTCTTAAAAGAAATAGGTGAGGAAAGGTTGGTGGGGGGGGGGGCTTTGAAAGATTCAACCAATCTGGCAGGTTTGAAAGGAAAGGGGGAGTTAAATTAAACCCAACCCAGGAAAATGGGGCACACTCACAGCACCATTAACCAGAATTTACAAAGTTTTGAATTAAAAAAAACCCCACACCTGCCCACTCCCTAAAATATATCACATTTGCTTATTTCCCTTCCCAGAACTGCATTCTATTCCTCCCTCCCCCACCCACTCAAATTTCAAAAAGTTTATGATGATTCCTGGAATATGGAGGAAAGCAAACATTCTCACATTCCTCAAAGTTTCCATCTGGGGAAAGTGAAGGCGCTCTCTTCTGAAAAAAGTAACGGACACATTTTAAAAGTTCCTCAAAGGTGTACTCAAGAAAGGAATTTTCAGTCAAAAGCTAGCGAGGCATAAATGAAGTAGAAAAACAGAGTGGCCAGCCATGGGCTCTAGGGACCTGGGAGGCAGGAGTGGAAACCGTTATGCCACAAAGCCACCATTCTCCTCCCCTGAATATCCATCAAGAGTCCACTAGCTTGGCCTGCCCCACTCTTCCCCATTAAGGCTAGGGACAAACAGAAAAATGCACACAAAAAGGTTGAGGTGGAGGGGGACACTTTTTAAATGACCAGTTTAGGTTACGTAGGACTAGTTTGGAAGGGGCACAAAAGCCCCAAACATTCAGAACTATCACAGCAGGAGATGTTTGCAATATCCTAGGAAATGCGCAAGAGCAAAAATAAAGAGTGCACCTACACTGTAGAACTAATGCAGTAAATTCTTGGGAGTTGTGGTTTTACAAACCTATTCTGCTTCACCAGCTCCTGTCGTGCATCTACTACACTATAGAAGGAATGCAATTTGATACCACTTTAACTGCCATTGTTGAATGCTATGGAGTCATGAGTAGCAAGAAAGGGCCTTCCACACGGCCATATAACCCAGAATATCAAGGCAGAAAATATTACAATGTCTGCTTAGAACTGAGCTGTCTGAGTCCACGCTGCTATATATTCCAGTTCAAAGCAGAAAATGTGGAATTTTATTCAACTGTGTGGAAAGGGCTTAGGTTGTAACCCTTCTTCTTCCCATGAACCTTGAGCCCCTAGCTCTTAAACATAAAGCAACTACATTTATTCTAAAGTGTAGATGCACCCAAAGCAAGGAGGAGTGTCTTTCTAAGGCCCCTTCTACACAGCTGTACAAAATCCAGATGACCTGCTTTGAACTGGCAGTATAGACTCAGATAATCAAGTTCAAAGCAGATAATCCAGATTATCTGCCTTGATATTCTGGATTCTATGGCAGTGAAGAAGGGCGCTAAGACTGGAGGAAAGGCCCAAAGAGAAGAGCTCTGGTCTTTCAAGAAATACAACAGAAGTAAATGCACACACCCAATGGGCCAAGAGCATTCCATGCAAAGGGATGCCTGGGGAAGCTAACGCTCCCTCATTCTGTCTCTGGGCCCTTCCACATACCCAGAATATCAAGGCAGAATAACCCACATTATCTGCTTTGAACAGGATTATCTGAGGGCCCTTCCACACAGCCCTATATCCCAGAATATCAAGGCAGAAAATCCCACAATATCTGCTTTGAACTCAGATAATATGGGACTTCATACCTTTATATTATGGGATACAGGGTTGTGTAGGGCCCTCAATCCACACTGCCATATATCCCAGTTCAAAGAAGATAATGTGGGATTTTGTATTGTGGAAAGCTTTCATGGATGAAATCACTGGGTTGTTGTGACCTCACAACCTCTGAGGATGCTTGCCACAGATTCAGGCGAAAACATCAGGAGAGAATGCTTCTAGAACATGACCATACAGCCCGAAAAACCTACAGGGGAAGGGGACCTATATGCCTGGATCGAATTCCAGGTTTTCTGCATTAAACTGGATTATGTGAGTCCCCACTGCCAGATAATCTGGGATGAACAGAAAACCTGGAACCATATCTTGGAATATAGGGCCTGTCTGGAAGGGCCTTCCAAAGTGCGACAGGCTCCCTTTGGAGGCTGCTATCCCGGTCTAGCATGGCCATGGGGCTTCTCCTTCGACACAGACGCACACCCCTCGCAGGGCGGCCCCAGGCCCTTCCTCAGAGGCGGGCTTCCAAGTCTGCCAAGCGCCGGGATGGAGGAATTGAACTCCAGGGAGAGAGAGGGAGGGAGGGGAGGGGAGGGGAGGGGAGGGGGAGAGACCTACGTGCTCAAATGTTTCCAGCCGTTTCTAATTATATCAGCCCCAGCGCAGCCCAGAGTAAACGCACTCGCTTTCCTCCCCGACGAGGCAAAGCCCACCCCACAGCCCTCCCCACGACGCTTGGCGCCCGCTTCCCTTCTACACATTGTGCCGCGGAGGCAGTTCGAGGCCACTTCGCGCTGCCCTGGCTCCGTGCTGTGGAACCAGTCTCTCGCCTTCTTTGGGCGCCTCACTGAAGTCCAGCTCCCATGGCAAGGAGCCAGGGCAGTTCTAGCGCTAACTCGACATATTAGCTACAGATCTACATCCTCCGGCCCCCCTTCTCCCACCCTGGACCTTCCACAGATATATATAAACCCAATATCCCAAGTTTCCAACAGACCTCACAACCTCTGAGGATGCCTGCCACAGATGCAGGCGAAACGTCAGGAGAGAATGCTTCTAGAACATGGCCATACAGCCCGAAAAACCTACCACAACCTTCCCTTGGCGTTCAAAAAAGGCGGGAATGGATGCCACTACTACTTACTGCTCTTCAAGGAGAGAGACGTGTGTGTTCCCCACTAGGTCCTGGGCTGCGTCGCGAGCGCGCTTCTGCTCCTCCTCCCTCTGCCGCGCTCCCAGAGCCGAAAAGCGCGCCTCCCCGCCGGCCTCTCCCTCCCTCCCTCCCTCCCTCAGCCCACGGAGGGGGCGGGGCCCCAGCGCCAAGCGGGGTGGGCCCGCCTGCCTGCCCCGGAGGGCTAGAAATACTCCCACGGAGGGAGGGAGGGAGGCGAAGAGAAAGGCGGAGCGTGCAGTTGTGAGGAGAAAGGGAAGCCCCCAACAAGGCCGTTCCCTGGCGCCCTGGGTGGGGAACTCACCCAGCCCTCACCCTTGCATTGCTCCCCTGGCCACGGAAGGGAGGTCGGCAGGCAGGCAGCGGGTTTGGAGGAATGAATGGTCGAACCTCGGAGGCTGACTCGAAGGGACGTCGGAGAAGAGTTTCCCTAGTTCAATCTGAAGTCTAAACCACCCTTCATGCCCACCACGAAGCAGGAGAGGATCGCTAGATAGCCCAGCATGGGCAAACTGGGGCCCTCCGGGTGTTTTGGACTTCAACTTCCACAATTCCTAGCAGCCTCGGGCCCTTTCCTTTCCCCCTTAGACGCTTAAGCGCCTGAGGGGGAAAGGAAAGGACCCGAGGCTGCTAGGAATTGTGGAAGTTGAAGTCCAAAACACCCGGAGGGCCCAGTTTTGCCCATACCATTTATTTCTCATGTCAGGAGCGACTTGAGAAACTGCAGGTCGCTTCTGGTGTGAGAGACTTGGCCGTCTGCAAGGACAGTGCCCAGGGGAAGCCACCCATGCCTTTTTCTTCCATATCAGGAGTGACTTGAGAAACGAAGTCGTTTCTGGTGTGAGAGAATTGGCCGTCTGCAAGGACGTTCCCCAGGGGACTTCGGGATGTTTTACCATCCTGTGGGAGGTTTCTCTCATGTCCCCCCATGAGCCCATGCCTGATCTCGCCCCATCTCCATGGATCATTTTATGCAGTTCTGAGCTAGCTTTAAACTGCGGTGGCCAAACAACAAATTCCCACCAAAGTGTGTGGAAGGAAGGAAGGAAGGAAGGAAGGAAGGAAGGAAGGAAGGAAGGAAGGAAGGAAGGAAGGAAGGAAGGAAGGAAGGAAGGAAACTCCCAAGGGAGGAGCACCAGTGCTCTGTGGGGCGTGTCCGCCCCACCCGGGCAATCAAGTTGGGTCCAGAATTTCTTCTATAAACATCTGCGCGACGAAAACAGTATCTTCGGGAGCAGCTTGAAACAACCTTGAATGACACGCATTGGTGGGGCCAGAGAAGGTGGCGCCTATTAGGGGAGACCCTACTCCTCGAAAGGAGGAGGAGGAGAAGATTCCATTCCCCGAAGTCCCCCCACTCTTTGTGTGTGTGTGTCAGAAGCGACTTGAGAAACTGGAAGTCACTTCTGGTGTGAGAATTGGCCGTTTCCAAGGACATTACCCAGGGGACGCCCGGATGATTGATCATCCTTATAGGAGGCGTCTCTCATGTCCCCGCATGGGATGCTGGAGCTGACAGAGGAAGCTCAACCCGCTCTCCCCCATTGAGGGCTCGTTCTCTCTCCCTAGCCTCTGGACGCCTCTAGACCAGTCGTTCTCAACTTATGGGTCCCCAGATGTTTTGGCCTTCAACTCCCAGAAATCCTAATAGCTGGTAAACTGGGATCCTAACAACTGGTAAACTGGGATTTCTGGATTTGTAGGTCAAAACACCTGGGGACACACAGGTTGAGAACCACTGCTCTACACTGTCACCACCTTCCCACGCCCTAACCTCGCTCTGGAGCTGCCAAAGGCTCAATGGGAGCTGTCATTAGGTGAGGCCCCAGCACTCTAGTGAGGCTGTTAAAGACTCCTCCCTAAATTACAAACCCAGAATTCTGCAGGAGGCAGAAACCGGATTTTAATTGGGTTTTTTTCTCTAGTGTGATGAAGTAGTAGGAAAGACTCCTTCCATACACCAGTATAAAATCCCACATTATCTGCTTTGAATTTGGTTATATAGCCGTGTGGACTCAGGGCCCTTCCACAAAGCCATATAACCTAGAATATGAAGGAAGAAAATCCCACAATATCTACTTTGAACTGGGTTATCTGAGTCCACACTGCCATACATTCCAGTTCAAAGCAGATAACGTGGGGTTTTATTCAGCTATGTGCAAGGAGCCCCAGATAATTCAGTTCAAAACAGGTATTGTGGATTATCTGCCTTGATAATATGGCTGTGTGGAAGGTTATGTGCCCTTGAGTTGAGAAAGTTAAAGCCTTGTGAAACGACAACCCCCAGGTCTCCATAGCATTGAGCCCCGGCTGTTCAAGTGGCATGCTGTACCAGTGTTTCCCTGATCAGTGGCTGAGGCACTGGGAGCTGAAATCCAAAACACCCGAGAGTCAGAGTTTGGGAAACATTGGGGGCCCTTCCACACAGCCCTATATCCCAGAATATCAAGGCAGAAAATCCCACAATATCTGCTTTAAACTGGGTTATCTGAGTCCACAGTCAGATAAGGTGGGATTTTCTGCCTTGATATTCTAGGACATAGGGCTGTGTGGTCGGGCCTTGAGTCCATACTCAGATAAAGTGGGATTTTCTGCCTCGATATTCTGGGCTATAGGGCTGTGTGGAAGGGCCCTGAGACTGTTGCTACATCATCAGCCAACTGGTGTCTCTCTATCCAAGAAAGAAACACAGAGTGGATCTACTCTGCCCTATATCCCGGATTATCTAGCAGTGTGGAATCATATAATCCAATCCAAAGGAGATAATAGATCCAGTCACACTCCAAAGCAGACAACAAGGAGCCGCGCCCCGCCTTCGCCTTGCGGAGGATCCTTGCCTGGCCGCCTTGGGCAACCAGAAAGCAACCCCCGCTGACTCCTGAACCAGGAAAGCTGGGCTGCTCCTCCTTTCTGCCTCACCTCTTTGCCCCTCCCCCCAAAAAATCCGATCTCTTTCGATTTGGTGTATGTTTGTTAAGGAGATAAAGCAGCGAAAAGCAGCGCTCCTCCTTCGAGCGATTCCGCCCAGTCGGAGTTGCCACTTCCAAGACTTTCTGTCCCTGTGTGAAACGAATGCAATCTGACACCACTGGAACCAATCTGGCTCCTTGCGAGGCAATCACGAGAGTAGTCGTTTCTGACCAAAGTCCTTCTCCTGCTCTCCTAAAGAGCGCCGGTGCCGAACTATAAACCCCAGGATTCCGTAGCATTGACCCCTGGCAGTTAAAGTGGTGTCAAGCTGCGTTAATTCGGGATCTTCCTCAACTTGCGCTTCTAAACTGGAGCCTCACTCGCAGGGCTGCCGGGTCCGAGGGGGGGGGGGGGCGAGGGCTTCATTCATCCCAGCCACTTCAGGTTGGATCTACACTGACCATATAATACACTTCAAACTGCATGATGAGTGAGACGGTGTAGATCCAGACTCAATGGCAATCTCGAGCTGGAGAGGTTGGTGCCAATGAAGCGGGACTTACCAGGATCCGCGGGGTGAGCGAGATTCCCTCAGAGAGCCAACGCCAGGGGAGATGCAAGCCTTCCAAATGCTAGGTGCCCGACCCGAAAGAGAGCGGCTGTCCTCCCAAAGTCTTCCTCCTCCTCCTCTTCCTCTTCGCAAAGCCTTACTCTTCCTGCCTGGCTGGTGCCAAATGCCCGACTGCGAGCGCCGGTCTCGTGCTGGTCCGGTTTATCCAAGCCCCCGCCCCGACGCCCGCAGAGGACCCGGTGGCCTGAGAGAGAACACCCGCCACGATTTAAAGGGCCAGCGCCTCGGCCTGTAGCCACAGCCAGGACGTCCACGCCTATTGAGAGGGGAGCCAAGGGATGGCCCTGCCGGGGTTTGGTCCTCTGCAGGGTGCTTTACTGCTGGGAAGCGAAAAGCCTCGCAGACCAGGCAGCCCCAGGCGAGCAACAAGTCTTGTCGACAGGGTTTGAACCCTACTCATTGCAGGACTCAGCCTGGATCTACACTGCCATATAATATAGTTCGAGACTGCATTATTCGGTCAGTGTGTAGATACATCACACTACAGAAAAATATCCACTTAAAATCTGGTTTCTGCCTCTTGCAGAATTAGTGAGGTTGTTAAAGGCTCCTCTCAACTACAAACCCCAGAATTCTGCAGGAGGCAGAAACCGGATTTTAAGTGGATTTTTTCTCTAGTGTGATGAGGCCCTAGTGCAGTTGAACTGCAGCATATGGGCGTAGATAACTCATATAATGCAGCTCAATGCAGTTGAACTGCAGTATTTAGGCCCATGCACTGACCAGATAATGCAGTTCCAAATTGCATTATATGGCAGTGTAGATCCGGCCTCTTAGGAAGCTGAAGTGAGGGCAAGAGATGAAATATGGTCTGGTCTTCACAGCATAGATCCCTGGTTTTCCTTGAAGCAGTGGTCCCCAGACTTTGGTCCCTCAGGTGCTAGGAACCTCATCTCTCAGAAGCCAGTTTGGCCAACATTTCAGAATTCTGGAAGCTGAAATCCAAAACTTCTGGGAAGCCTATGCTTTGGGAGCCACTATAAGTGCATCTTCACCACTGATTTCCAAACTCCGGTCCTGCTAGTCTTTTGGACTTCAGCTCCCAGGATTTCTGACTATTGGCCCAAATGGTAGCTGGGAGTTCTAAACCATCTGAAGGGTCAGAGTTTGGGAATCACAGATCTCCTTCACAACACAATTCATGCAGTTTGGCGTCTCTTGAAGTGTCCTATATCAATGCTAAGGAAGCCTCGGAGATGTAGTTTGGCGAGATCTTTAACTTTCTCTGCCCAAAAGTGTTGGTGCCTCACCAAACTACAGTTCCCAGGATTCCATAGTATTGACCCATGGTGAGTAAAGTGGAGTCAAACTGCATTCCTTCTATCATGTAGACTCCCCACATAGCTTTGACTTCAATTTCACTTGCCTGGATGGAAAAAAGAGTGGAAGCTCATATCTGTGTCTACAGATAACACAAAAAAGAGACATGGATGCTACATTTCTGGTGACCTCCTGGTACAAAAAGATAGACCAGTGGTCAGAGTTTGGGAAATGTACTTTTAAAAAAGAACCTAGAGCTTCCCCACTGGCTATGCTTTCTGTGAAATTCCAGGAATTGTCCTCAAAGCACCTTTCCTGACTGCATTTGTTAATGATCCCTCTGGTTTTTAGATGGATATCCCTTCAGTCCATAGTTGATCTCATGCCCACTGAGAGCTCAGGGAAAACCAAATTTCCGCCACTTCATCAATGATTTCCCTTTCTCCAGATTAGTATCAAATCACTTCCATCTACAGGAGTAGCTATACTAGATAAATCACATCTCTGTCCATTCCTACTAATAATGTGACACAAAACTATGAGTCCTTTTGGATTCCCTGGTCATGATATGGAACTGAGAGATTCCCTGTATTTATGTTTGAATGAGACTTACAAAACACAAGCTTCCAGAAATGCAAAGAGCCTGCTGCCTCCCTATAATGAAATTACTGATCAGTGACTGTATCCATTCATTTTACAAGCCCTGTCTCATGATGCAAAACAACTCGGTAAAGTCCCAGCTCAATGAGTCTCAGTTTAGAACCCAATTGAAGCCTGCTTCTGTTGTACACATATATCTAAGATCTTGTACTATATTGCATATGTCTTTTAAATAGATAATTGCATCACTTCATACCTGAAATTTAGTTGAATAACTTTCTGTTTCTCTCAGAAGTGGTTCCCAAGGTATTAATCTCAGATGCTACTGGACTGGAAATCCCAGAATCCATTTAATCTGGCTGAACATGGACCTTATAATTGTGGAGGAGCAGAGGGGCTCCAACGTCCTTTATCCATGATTAGGCTAGGATGATTGACACATACATACACAGAGAGAGGGAGGGAGGGAGGGAGGGGATATGGCAGCACTTCCTCAGGCCTGATACATAAGACTGATACTAAATCTATGCTGCTCGTACTATCAGATACAGTGAATCGTCAATCCTTTTGTCTCCTAATGTACTTTCCTCCACCACCACCACCCATTACCCTTATGTATCATTTTGTCCATACAACTCTTTCTTTTCTGAAAATGCACCATGGGTTGAAAGCTGATGGCTCAACAACTGGCACTGATCCACAAACCACCACTCTGAGTAGCATTGTAGTCAAGCTCAAGAAAGCACACTCAATAAATGAAAACAGCAATTATTTTTGAGTCCACTCAGGAATAATAACATCTGCCTGCAATGTACACTGATTTGAGAGAGTAAGCTACGCCAATCACATTGTGCTTGTAAGAGTCTTCCTATTTAAGGCTGGCAAAAGTAATTTGCCCACTCACTGCAAGTAGTAAAAGGAATAGCAACCTGCTTGCCAGAGTTGAGGCCCCTTCCACCCAAAAATAGCTGCAGTGTCCTATGGCTGAGAGTTTAGGGAGATGAAGTCCACCAACATTTAGGGAGATGAAGTCCACCAACCAGACTTCAAAAACACTCTTCCAAAAGTGGTATTTTACTAAAAGCAGTTATTGTTCTGTCATCACCAGTTTTACATGTTTAAATTGTTCCTTTTGCTTGTAGCTGAAAGAATGATACCCGTTAAATTCAGAAATGAAGGGTTAGAGAGGATGGTTTGAGTGACGAACTAACTCATTTCTAGACTGTTGTTTTATGATCCTATGAAATAGTATCTAAGATTTCAGAACTAGGCACACTTCCTTAGGAACATCCAGTCTAGTGAGATTTGCATCTCAGTTAGCATCTATAGAATTAGAGTTGATGTCAGATACTGAGGGTGAGGCAATGAGACTGGGGGAGTGACTGTGGTTGCAGCCCCTATCCTCACCTAAACCCCCACTTGGTATGTTTAGGAATGGCATCCACTATGTTATTTCATGTCACCTTTGATTATTTCATTCATGGTATTTACTAGGCTTGGGTAACCACGGAAAAATTTGGTTCTAAACTCGTTTAGTTTTTAGGGGGGCCCTTGCATTTCGTTTTTTTAAAGAATTCGAAATTTTCCTTTAAAAAAGTTCGAAATATACGAAATTTTGTAAAATTACGAATCGATTCGTTAATGGCGGACGCGATTGCGCAATATGCTAAAAAAAACCTCCAAATGGGACAGGGGGAACTTCTGAAGCTTCCCTCTCCCTCTGTTGTTGACTGTTGGTGTGATAATTTATTTTTTATCACTGATAAAACAAACAACAACTATAAAACTTGCACCAGACATACGGAAATAATTATGAAACAATTACGAAACAATTTCGAAACAATTTTGAACCAATTACGAAACAATTATGAAACAATACGAAATAAATTGGAAAAATTGTTTCAATTTTTAATTACTCCTCACAGTAGTCCTGCATGGCTCAATATTGGATCGTAAGCTAATTTAAATACGAATTAATAACAAATTACGAAATTAACGAACGAAACCGCCCAAGCCTAGTATTTACTTCTTGTCAGGAACTTTGGTTTGAGTGCTAGAGACAAATTAAAAGAAACTCAAATGCCAAGAAAGCTAAACACTCTCCGTGTTGCTTAAGTGAAATATTATTACTTAGAGTTCTAATAAGACATACAGTTGAATCAAGTGTTCATCAGTGGAGAAATGGGTTAAGATCTGACTGATGAATCTGAAAAGGTTCATTGATATACACTGGGAATGTAACTGAATTAGAAGCTGGTTCTCTCCTCCTCTTTTTCCCAAACCTATTTCTGTGTGTGAATGTGCACATGCACATACATGCGCATGAGTGCATATGCACATGTATGCACATTCACATACTTTTCACTGAAAGTATTCCAGAAGGCATTCCAAGTCAGGGACATTTTTTTTCAAGGAGAAAAGAATTCAGGCCTTCTTAGTTTGTGATGGTCTGCAGATAAAAGTGTAGTTTGTTTCAAAGACTGAGTGGGCACTTTGTTCTTTGCACACAATGCCCACTTTCTTGAAGCTAGCATTGAACAGACTCATTGCCTTCTAACTTGGAGTCCAAAGTAGCTGCCTAACAGACAAGGGATGGCATCTGTGTAGCAGAGGTGAACAGGGGCTGCCTCCAAAATAAAGACTTAATTGAGATGTGTATGACCATGTGTACCAGTGAGCATGTGGTTCACTCATCAGGGCAACCACACCAATATTTAGATCCCAGTTCAGATGTCAATGTTTTCTTTTCTGATAAGTATTTCCATTTAATACTCTCATTTTGGCATTAAAATTTGCTCAGTTCACTGCTTGAGATAGGAAACCTTTCTGTTGTATAGTAGGATAGGATCACATTGGGTAATCCAGCACTGCATTTTCAATTTGGCTTTGTTTTTGAATTCTTCTTGATTTGTTAAAAAGCAAAATCTGTTTTTTTTTTCAGACTGCCCATACAAGACAGAGCCAAACTTCTTAACCTGAAATTTAGGCTTCTAGGATTATTTCAAGCGAGGGCCCTTCCACACAGCTATATAATCCAGAATATCAAGGCAGATAACCCACCATATCTTCTTTGAAATGAGTTATCTGAGTCTACACTACCATGTAATCCAGTTCAATATGGATTTTATACAGCTGCGTGGAAGGGGGCTGATTAGGATTAACAAAGAGCAAGTGACCTCACTATATGATAGGCCACCTGTTTTTTTCCTTCAAATCCTGATGTTCATCTTTCATTTTGTTTGGATCCAAGAACATCACAAAAAACTGCCTTC